TTACTGGGTAAGCCAATAAAGTTTATTGTTACCGAGAACACAGACGTTGGCTTGTAATGACAAAACGTTTAACACAATTCTGTATGATTGTATCTGTGTTACGAGTGCTGGTGTTCTTCGGTGTTATAACGGTAATCATCAATATTATAGTGTTCATCTGCGTTATACTGGAACTTTTAGTCTTGTATTCTTGTTCTTCTGTTATACTGACCTTTACCAGTACTGCACTGGGGTTTGTCAGTCTTATATTGGCCTTTGTCAAGCAGCGAGCCAGCCAAATGGTTTTCCAGAGAGCCAGACAGTCGGTAAACAGCCAACTAGCTAATCTACTTACCAGCCAGTCAAGCCGCAACGCAAAAGTCAGTGAAGAGGGTGATCCATACCTGTCAATATTGCATCTTCCACCACTGTCTTGGGTAATATTGACTTCCTCCAGGAGAATTATTTATGTTCACACACGCATACGTCTCAAGTGCACGACCGTAGGGAAGTATTCCCCACTTCCCCCCACCCTTTCTCTCTCCCACTCACACACACACTCACACAAAGAACAAATCATAATACATAAGTCTGCCCTCGACAGCACAGCAACATTCGCTACTTCTCGTAACACATTATACCGAAATATGAAAAGATAAATCTTCTAAAATAAATTTATTATACAACAACAGTCATCTGCATAATAATTTTTCTATTTCTAATACATTAAAACCTTGTGACGTTTTAACGAATAAATCACAAGTAATTTTGTATCGCCGTTTATTTGTGCTTCTCTTTAATTCATTTTGGTTTATGATGTTTAACATTTTTACATTCTTTATTAGGGCGTTGAAAATAAAGTAATGACATTTACGAATAAAATTGCATGAAGAATGGCAATAACTAAAAAAAGTAGTTGAGACAGTGCTTAAATAACCAACCCGCGCTGGAACAGCACACTAAAATGGTTATAAATTATGACCATAATTTTTAAAGGACCGTTAAGCCAGCGGAAGGCCTCGGTCAGATAACCAAAAGCTCCAGCGTCAGAAAACACTTGTCCTGTTTCCTGGCAAATATTGTACCTACCTACCTTGTCTGGTGGTGAAAAGATTACCGTGCAGCCTTAATGACCCCCCATGAAGTCGATAGACCTTAAACCCCATTAACCATAATCACATCTGTCACTTAATAAAGCCCATTGTGTGAGCGAAACGTTGTCAATAAAGGCTCGCATTATATAACATTCGTGTCTATTTTTGCACGTGTCGGTATTCTTTACCATTTACTGACACAATACAAACTTGTCTTACACTTGTGTTTTCATTCAAGTACTTAGGTAAAAAATAGTAGTGGACCAGTCATCACACGGGTCTGTGATGGATGAAGTGAATCACCGGATGAATGTGCGACTGAAAGGTGTGAGGGAGAGATGTTTACTAAGAAAACAGAATGAGCCGGAATATAGTCATATCGCCACTTCTGTGTGAGTGTTAGGCATGGTCTTTGAATACTTTGTGGCCTGGTCACAGACCGGGACGCGGGGGCGTTGACCCCCGAAACCCTCTCCAGGTATACTCTAAGTACTGCAGATGGATAGAGGCAGTAGAGGAGGCTGGGCACAATGGAGGAAGCTGGGGCAATAGAGGTTGAAGGTATCCGGGGGGGAGTAGAGAAGGCTGGAGGTAGCCGGAGGCTGTAGAGAAGGCTGGAGGAAACCGGGAGTAGTAGATGGGGCTGGAGGTAGTGGAGATGTGCTTGAGACTAATATCTGCTGTGATTAAGGTATCAAGAAATTAAAAGACGGTGTGATAGTTTGAGTCGGGGGTGAAACATGGGTTGTCGGTTAGGTAAGGTTTGTCAGGAAATATGACAAGTGTTTCCTGACGCGGGTCTTAGCCATATGACGACCCGCCACTGGTGCTTCTATTCTGACTGAGGCCTTCCGCTGGACTACCGCTTTAAAATTATGGTAATTATTATAACCATTTTTGATGTTTTAAACGCGGGTTATCGATAGGGTTTGTTCATGTAGAAAGTTGCACAACACAATTAATCGACTGTATAAATCTTTAGCGAATTATATTTATAATTATACTTATTATTATTATTATTATTATTGTTGTTGTTGTTGTTGTATTAAAAAAACGCTTAACGATAAAAAGTGGTGTACATTATGTCTAAGACAATATTGGAAGGAGGTTGTAAAAGGCAGGGATTGGAACGTGTATGTTACGAACTTGGTAAATCAAAATGGAGACAAGTGGTTTTTGGACTAGACGTGCTGTTAGAACGTAAGATCTCTGAAATCATTCATGGAATCCAGTTATCTAGCTTTAATTTTTATAGGTGAGAAGTTCACTGCTTATACTTGGAAGTTGAAGTGGAGACGTTGAAGTTCGAGGGGGTTATCTATAGTTCATTTTTTTTTTAGCACTTCTGTAAAGACAGGTTATGGGAGCGAAGAATGGTTAATGCATTTTCTTCTTTGGCTCACCGTGCTTCAGTGGATTACCTTTCCTTTGCGAGTCACTCTACCATGGTGGGTCACCATACCTTTATGAGGGCATCCTTCCTTCATTCATCATTCTTGTAAATGCATTTATACCCTCTTTCATTCACGTTTATTCATACATTACGCGGTAAGTAAAAAATGTCATTCGCATAAGTCTTTCTAAAATCTCTTATCAATAGTCATACTGCTTCTAGCCTTAATTAACTCATAGCTACGCTGGATGGTTTATTTTCCACCCCATCTGTGATATAGTTAAAAGGTGCTTTGGACCTTAGTGGTTTAAGGTACCTTGTAGCTCAGTGGTAGTGTTATATGGTACCTTGGTAGTTCAGTAGTAGAATACCTTAAGGTATCGTGTTGCTCACTGTACCGTATTATAAGGTACTTCGTAGGGCTTAATAAATTACCTTGAAATATATAAGGTACCTTGTAGAACATTGTAACTGACATGATAGCGTATTGTAAGGTACCCCAGCGCATTATAATGGATCTCGTAGCATCTTATACCTCATTGCGTGTTAAAGGAACCTCAGAGTATATTATATGGAGCATAGTAATGAGATACCAAGTACCTTGTATGTGTTTGTTCCTGTATGCCCGACACAGCACAGCATTGAGAGAAAAATCTTGGGTTATTGTAGGTTATAGGTTACTGTAGGTTAAAAAAAATCCCGGATTATTAGTCATGGGTTATCGTGGGTTATTAACCCTCTGGGAGTACTAGTCTTGAATTTTCCTGGGTTATTAGTCCCCTGGGTTTACTAATCCGAAGACAATCTTTTTCACGTTCTTGCTCACCTTGGCAACATTTCTACAAAGTCCTTGTTATGCTGACCATACAAATTATAGCTGTCCTCGCCTTTCTCTAGATCAAAATTCATTACCTTCCATATCCCAGGAGTTGTATGGTACATATTTAGAGCTTCCTCATCATTAAATTAATGATGAGAAAGCACTAACAATTTTAATTTTTCATTGCCGATATATCATCACAGATACCCCTCAAGGGAGGCTCCTTGATGCTGGTGAGGGGCTCTTGATCTAAGGAATTGGACATGTGATGAGATCCAATTCCTTGAATTAAGCCTGAATGCCTTCCATTCCCTCAGGCGCCGCATAACCCGTACAAGTTTGGGGTCCCCATGAACGTAAAAGTAATGATCACGGTTATTTTTTTTTCATTCTTTAATTGGCTTAAATTTCCGTGTAAAATTAGTATATAAAATTTTATAAACCCTCATCGACACTACACTTCACAAAATGAAAGTGAAACCTGGATGAGGCTTCATTCAGTCCTGTCCATTATTATCATACTGGGAAAGTGCTAAATTTACATAGATATCGTAATGACGCGATTGTAAACAAACCATACCATGGGTGGGGACTGAACTCGTGGCGAATGATTGAACTCGCCACGAGTTCAACCCCACCCGTGGTTTATACAGTAGGTAATCCGATTTGCTCACAAGTAAGGAGAGGGGTATCTTTCACTAACCTCAAGGAGGCACCTCCCATAAAAGGTAAAGACTACTAATCCTCATTTTCATTTTTATTAATTTTTCTTTCCCTTCCCTTAGCCTAACCAGAGACACACTGCAGGAGTCCAGGGAATGATAGTTTTCAGTTACAAATATTACTATATCTACCAGAGTTATTCAACGATAAAACGCGTTGACGTGAGTCCGGTTCTCGATAATTTGAACTGCTGCATAATCCAGACCTCAGTATTATTTTTGAACAAACTAATTTACAGACTATGAGCTGTTTCCCTGATTCAGTTCATCTCAAAGCCCGTTTATTATTATTGGTTAATATTGAGTTTATGGCCACATTGTTCAGTGTATTGATAGTTCTTATGTAAATTCTCTAGTATCAAATGAATTACTCATTGAAGAGTTATAATTTCAGCCTACGGTAAAGACCATTCACTATTAATCAAACCCTCCCAAAAAACGTTTGGTTCCTTTTTTTTTTGGGGGGGGGGTTACTAAAAACAGCATTTTTTCCCCAAAGGCCAAAAATATAAATGCCTCAGTTGCACGACCCACTTAACACTGGAGACTTTACTTAATAAAATAATTCGGGCCATAAACTCAATGCTGACCTTTTCAATCATATTCACGAGGACGCCCTATACTTGTGAGGGTTATAATAGCGCCTGTTTTCGAAAACTATCCGAGGGGTACTATCAACCCCCCTACTCCCACTATACTCATAATGCCACCTACAACTGCTGACTAACAGGAGCTAGAGGGGAAACAGAGGCAACAGGTGTAAAAATAAGACCTGCCCAAACAGCTGTGAGTCGACTAGTTCACCATTGAACTACTGATACTTGAGGCATCGTTTTTTTTTTTTTTAATTTTTTTTTTTTGCCAAATTAAAAAAATGAAGCAGTGACGTTATTGAAATAATATATCACGAGTAAACATGCCTTGTACTGTAAATGTCAAAAAAGCGCTAAACCTTCGTGGATTATTCAGCACCTGAAGAAAACATAGCATACCTGTAAGATCTGCCTCTGTAGGTCCCTGGATGACGGGAGTCTGAGGGAGAGAGACGTGGGGAGGGAGATACTAAGAGATAATAAAAGAATAAGAGAATCACTGAGCCAGGATATTATCTCAGTGAGGTGAGAGCATGAGGGAGGGGATGAGAGATATAAAGAAATTAAGCAGGAGACTCACAGACAGGCAGGATGTATAATCTCAGTGAGACGAGAGCAGGGAGGGAACGAGAGATAAAGCAAGACTCACAAACAGGCAAGATGAATGATCTCAGTGAGACGAGAGCGAGGAAGGGAGAGATACTAAGAGATTAAAAAAGTAAGAGAAGCACAGCGTTAAGTAACCTGCTCAGTCTCCCTGGGTACACTGAGAGCTCCTCGCCGCCGCCATCTTGCTTTGCTCTCTCACGCTAGTTGCCATCTCTCAGTATTGTCATCCCCTCAAGGAAGGTTCCTTGATGTTGGCGAGGGCTCTTGATTTAGGGAATTGGATCTGTGCTCCAGTTCCCCGAATTAAGCCTGAATGCCTTCCACATCCCCCCCCCTAGGCGCTGTATAATCCTCCGGGTTTAGCGCTTCCCCCTTGATTATAATAATAATAATAATCAGTATTGTCATCTCCCTTTTTTAAATTAATATCATTATTAAAAAATGCTAATTTATTTCTACAAGTACATGTACTACGTATACAGGCCTAGCTGACATTAATTACTGATCCGTATTTAGCATAGAGACTCCACAGAATTTGGGGATAATTTCAGGCTGTACAAATTGTTATAGATTTTTGGGGGGTTATACATATATTATAATTTGGGATTTGATGAAGGGGGGTAATTGAAATGTTGCGTACTCCATCCGTAGAGTTTTTAACCCATATACTATTATTGTCGCGTGAGGTTGTTGGGTTACCTTGAATTGGGTTAGGTTGGGCTACAACCCAATCTAACCTAACAACCAATATTTATAAGAATTGGTACAATACACAGCTACCTCTATTGCATTTTAAACTATGAATTATTTTTATTATTATTATTTTATTATTATCATTGATATCATTGATATTATTATCATTATTATTATTATTATTATTATTATCATTGATATCATTGATATTATTATTATTATTATTATTATTATTATTATTATTATTATTATTATTTATTATTATTATTATTATTATTAAAACGCTGAACTTGTACAAGTCATTTAATGCTGCAAAATAGAGCGCTAACTTTAATTCACCTTAATTATTTATCTTTCTTTAAATCTCATTTACTTTTCTATATTTTTATAAATACTTATCGCAGTTTGCAACAGAAATAGCCTGATGAATTGGTAATTAATATATTTAATTACTGATTATTTACACACAGAGTGCTGGTAGGCTCTGAGTTCTTTCCTCTTCATGGCTCAATTGGTAGCGTCTTCGACTCATAATGAAAGGACCTGGGATCGAACCCTGGACGAGTGGAATGTGTGACAGTAGGTATCTGGGTGCTAGCAGACTGTGGTGGGTAGCATCCTGGTGATGGCTGGAGAATCACAGTGGCTTTCTTAGGTTATCCTTGGTTAATAACCTTCAGGGTTAATAATCTTAATAAAATCTTCAGATGTCTTTCATTTGTGTAACTATTAATTTGTGACTTTAAAATCACCTATAAGAAATAAGAAGCATTTATTATTAAGATTTCATCTGCTGAGTAACTAGGTGCTTTATCAAGCACGAGGTTTTACTGACTATGTGCTTTATTATGTACAAGGCTTCACCTGTGATGAATGGTGTAGAAAACCGACAAGTTGAAGAATTGAGGCACTTACGCAACACATGGGAATCTTTATTGAAGAAACGTTTCGCCACACAGTGGCTTCATCAGTCCAATACAAAGTAGAAATGTGTAAGGAGAGGAGAAGTTTGAGGTAATCAGTCCCTCAACCTGGAATCGATGTGTTCAGTCCATCACTCTTGTAGGAAATGCAGCATAGGGCCAGAGAGGTGGCTTATATAAAGATTCCCATGTGTTGCATAAGTGTCTGAATTCTTCAACTTGTCGGTTTTCAAAACCATTCATCACATCTGTCAGACACTGCAACATCATGGGATCTTGGTACAAAGACTTCAACGCTTGCCCAACCTTTGGACGACGACCCACTTACACTAGTGGTAGGTCCCACTGTGATCCCGCCTCCTCCTGCTTCACCTCATCTGACTGCAGTATATAAGCCACCACTCTGGCCCTATGCTGCATTTCCTACAAGAGTGATGGACTGAACACATCGATCCCAGGTTGAGGGACTGATTACCTCAAACTTCTCCTCTCCTTACCCATTTCTACTTTGTATTGGACTGATGAAGCCACTGTGTGGCGAAACGTTTCTTCAATAAAGATTCCCATGTGTTGCATAAGTGTCTCAATTCTTCAAGGCTTCACCTGCTAGGTGCTTTATCAGCCTATGTGAGGTTCTTTTTTTACCCTTTATCGTGAAGGGCTCATGATCCGAGGAATTTGAGCTTTTATACAGGATACATATATCATCTCTAGCTATATATATATTATATATATATATATATATATATAATATATATATATATATATATATATATATATATATAATATATATTTTATATATATATATATATAATAATAATATATATATATATATATATATATAAAATATATATATATGTGTGTTGAGAGTTGACTTTAAACTCTATTACAGGGATTAAAATATTCTAATGTAGTGGAGAAAAGGTAAGTGCAGCCTAAATGGCACTCGGCTCACACACTGAGGTCCGGAGTTCGATTCCCCGGTATGGCTGGAAAACATTAGGACGTGTTTCCATAAGACACCTGCTGTCCCTGTTAGCCCATCAGTATAACATGGATACCTGGGAGTTAGTCGACTGGTGTGGGTCGCATCCTGGGACAAAATTGGCCTAATTTGCCCGAAATACTCTGCATAACAAGCGGATTCCTAAATAGTAGTATGTCATTGATGTCAGCTATGGTCTGTATACCTTGTACATATACTTGTAGAAATAAAGATATTATTATTATTGTTATTATTATTACTGTAGTCGATAAGCTTCAAACCTCATTAACGAACATGGAGGTACCCTCCATGTCAAGGGGAGAGAATGGTCTATTATCATTCCCTTTACCATCCAATAATAGTTGATAATCTGCCTTTCCCATGCGCTGCCATTCTGACTCACGGAATCGTAATACGTAACATGATTGCAAATATAACCACGGAACGGGTGGGGTTTGCATCCATGGCGAGTGAGTCGTATAACTCCAGGCCAGTGCGTAAACCACTGGGCCAGCTGGCTACAATAAGATTTAGCGCTTCCGGCTAATATTGAGTTATAAGACCTGCTTTTAAGCAAATTCTTTAATATTAAGCAGGATGTACAATGGATATAGATGTATTTTGGGACTATGTGGCAAAAGTTCTTTTTTTCCTAACCAAAAAAAAAAACTAACCTAACCTAAACCTAACCTACTGTACCCTAGAATTTAACTTTTAATCAAGGTTTGGTTTGATTAGGTTAATAAGGTTAATAAGGGGACAAAAGAGTGCAAAAATTATAGGGGGATAAGTCTGTTGAGTATACCTGGTCAAGTGTATGGTAGAGTTATTATTGAAAGAATTAAGAGTAAGACGGAGAATAGGATAGCAGATGAACAAGGAGGCTTTAGGAAAGGTAGGGGGTGTGTGGACCAGGTGTTTACAGTGAAACATATAAGTGAACAGTATTTAGACAAGACTAAAGAGGTCTTTGTGGCATTTATGGATTTGGAAAAGGCGTATGACAGGGTGGATAGGGGGACAATGTGGCAGATGTTGCAGGTGTATGGTATAGGAGGTAGGTTACTGAAAGCAGTGAAGAGTTTTTACGAGGATAGTGAGCCTCAAGTTAGAGTATGTAGGGAAGAGGGAAATTATTTCCCAGTAAAAGTAGGCCTTAGACAAGGATGTGTGATGTCACCGTGGTTGTTTAATATATTTATAGATGGAGTTGTAAGAAAAGTAAATGCGAAGGTCTTGGCAAGAGGCGTGAAGTTAAAAGATAAAGAATCACACATAAAGTGGGAGTTGTCACAGTTGCTCTTTGCTGATGACACTGTGCTGCTCTTGGGAGATTCTGAAGAGAAGTTGCAGAGATTGGTGGATGAATTTGGTAGGGTATGCAAAAGAAGAAAATTAAAAGTGAATACAGGAAAGAGTAAGGTTATGAGGATAACAAAAAGACTAGGTGATGAAAGATTGGATATCAGATTGGAGGGAGAGAGTATGGAGGAGGTGAATGTATTCAGATATTTGGGAGTGGACGTGTCAGCGGATGGGTCTATGAAAGATGAGGTGAATCATAGAATTGATGAGGGGAAAAGGGTGAGTGGTGCACTTAGGAGTCTGTGGAGACAAAGAACTTTGTCCATGGAGGCAAAGAGGGGAATGTATGAGAGTATAGTTTTACCAACGCTCTTATATGATTGTGAAGCATGGGTGATGAATGTTGCAGCGAGGAGAAGGCTGGAGGCAGTGGAGATGTCATGTCTGAGAGCAATGTGTGGTGTGAATATAATGCAGAGAATTCGTAGTTTGGAAGTTAGGAGGAGGTGTGGGATTACAAAAACTGTTGTCCAGAGGGCTGAGGAAGGGTTGTTGAGGTGGTTCGGACATGTAGAGAGAATGGAGCGAAACAGAGTGACTTCAAGAGTGTATCAGTCTGTAGTGGAAGGAAGGCGGGGTAGGGGTCGGCCTAGGGAAGGTTGGAGGGAGGGGGTAAAGGAGGTTTTGTGTGCGAGGGGCTTGGACTTCCAGCAGGCATGCGTGAGCGTGTTTGATAGGATTGAATGGAGACAAATGATTTTTAATACTTGACGTGCTGTTGGAGTGTGAGCAAAGTAACATTTATGAAGGGGTTCAGGGAAACCGGCAGGCCGGACTTGAGTCCTGGAGATGGGAAGTACAGTGCTTGCACTCTGAAGGAGGGGTGTTAATGTTGCAGTTTAAAAACTGTAGTGTAAAGCACCCTTCTGGCAAGACAGTGATGGAGTGAATGATGGTGAAAGTTTTTCTTTTTCGGGCCACCCTGCCTTGGTGGGAATCGGCCAGTGTGATAATAAAATAAAATAATAAATAAGGTACCAGGTATTAAGCGAGTAAGCATGATACAGTACCCAGGGAATGGGGGATTATCTGGTTTAATCCGAGGAATGGGATGGTATTTCCATTTCCTTATATCACGAGGCCTTTACTAGCAACTAGCTCACCCACAAAATGATCTCAGTGAGTCAAGGTCTCGTGAATAATTTTAGTTAAAGCGGAAATGTCAGTATGA